ACTCCTTATAGCCGCCTTATAGCAACTCTTACATACTCCTATGAGCCTTTAACTAGGTATCGATCTGGGATAGCTTCTAATTTCCCTTGTTCCATACAGCTCCTGCTTATACATAGATGTGGGACTGTTGAAATCGACCCCTAGTAAGAGCATCGGTCGGGCACATGGACCCTTAAACCCTAAAGCCTAAAGGCTTTATAGAACCTCATAGCCACCCTTGAAGGGGCCGTTAAGTAGAAAGTATATCCAGCTACACCCCCATTTCCTCCGTTTTCTGAGGCTGACATTTATCAGACTCAAGCTCACGCGGCTCAGCGAAATGGTTGGGATTGTCTGGGTTCAGGGATTCGGGTTTAGGGTTTCGGGGTTCAGGTTTCGGGGTTAGTACTTGGAGGGGCAGGGGATTCAGTAAGTAAGATATAAGTAGAGTTACAAGTACCCTAAATGGAGTTACCCCAATTATAACGCTACTTATAACGCTTTAGCATTTCGAGATTCAGGGTTCAGGGGGGGCTTAGGGCTATTGGGTTTAAGTTACAGAATTTAGGATGTAGGAGTTCAATTAAGGGTTAGGGCTGATGGTTAGGGCTTTAGAGGAGTAAGGGCTTAAGGTTCCTCTCGGGGCTGAGGTTCTGGTGGCGGGGAAAAGCCAGCATGCGGAACACTACATTCCCGAAACGCCTAGACACTCTGAATGCCTAGCACTACCTACAGTCTGCATTGTAGTTCCTGTTTTGGTTAATCATTTTTATGGTCAGGATCTTATAATAGAGATTTTGGTTAACCAAAAAAAGGAACTACAATGGAGACTACTTGTAGCGTTCATTCAGAGACCTTGAGCCAAACCTCCAAGGAACAGACCGGCAAATTTTTGCTAGCGACATCCGGGTGGTCCTCCTTGCAGGGTGCGGGGACTTGACAAGTTGTGCTTTCATTACTACTAACTAAGTCCTTTAACCCTCCAAGTAATCCACACATCACATCACCGTGTCTATCAGCTAGTTTTAAAACTGGCCATTCTCTGGCAGACAGGAGTCAGGTGAAGTCTTTCTGAGGGCCCAGATCTTTTTCGGTAGGGCATTTGCAAAGCCAGCGGCCTCTACCTTGACAGTTTTTCTACCGTTTGTACCAAGATACCCATGGGCTCCATAGTTGTTCGTTTTGAGTGACCATATCTAGAATATTGTACGGTAATCCCCAAAAAGGAGCCACTATGGAGCCTATGGATATACATCATCGTGATTATCTCCGTCATGCGATGAGAATAATAGGATCAAGCTGGCACGCTAGGAACCTGGCTTTCAGAACCTCGACACAACTTAGCCACGAAAACCTGACGCCCGCAGCCTAGCATCCAAGCCCTATGCCCTACACCCCCAAGATGAAACTGCAACACCCAACCCTAAACCTCAAACCACTTGTTGGCTATAAACTCAACTTTTCAACTTTGGGGGTTCTTATCAGACCGTCGATTCTGAAAGTTTAACTTTTATTCCGCCTTGGGTTTTGGGCCATTGAGACCAAGAGCCAAGACCAAGGAACAGCCTTGACGATGCAGAGGGGGAGTTTGAAGACTGCGACGACTGGGGTGAGCTGGAGGAGGCTCGGGCTTCGGGTAAGAATTGGCGGTGTCATTCCCTAAGGTTCCTTCCGAATTCCCTCAGTATATTAACTGCTAGTAAATAACTCCCCCTCCCCCTTCCAACCGAAGATGCAAGCCAAATTCTAATGTTGAGGTTTAGTAAACCGCGTGACTTAGGTCATATGTGACAGGCATTCTGGTTTAGCATTATGGTCTTTGGGTGTGCGCGCCTTTCATGCAAACATACTTTTGAGGCCCCTCTATACTAAGTAGTGTTGTTCGTTTGGTTTTCGTCATGCTTGTCTCTGCACGGAGCTTGTCTGCTGGTGCCCCACTCAAGGTCCCTCCGCTGCGTCATTGCCATGTAACATGACAACACTCCTTCCTAAACGCTAACCCTAAAGCCCCAAACCCTAAACTCTAAACCCTGAATCTCTAACCCCGAAACCCTAAACCTTGAAGCCCTAGACGCTGCACTCCAAATGGAGGGTTTTGACTGCTTGAAACTTGATGATTGAAAACTAGATGGGTGCTTCTTTAAATTAGGGCCAGGGTGCCGAACTATTTTGGGAACCTAAAGAAAACATCCTAATGGACAGAACTACCCAAGGCAAGAGATCTTAAGCACTCAGCTGTAACGGCCCGGTCCGAAACTCCTAAATCTGCACCTGTAGGGATCGCAATCGGCATGGCTTCACCTTATAGTCGCGTTTAGCTTTACGGTATCGGACCCCAGAACCTCTGTATTGGGCTTCTGCACCAATCTTTTGCTCTAAACCCCATCACCTAGGATGCCCAGTAGTACCCTTATTCCCTTTTTCTCGTCCTAGGTTCCTTATAAAGTTACCCAGTACCAAAAAGAGAGGCCTTTTTATTCTTAGGTTACTGGGTATCCTAGTCACTCTAGAATCAAGCTACACCTAGGCATTCGATTTAGCCCAGAATTTCCTAGAACCCTAACACCTAAACCTTTCAAGCATACGCCCTCCCCCAGGGATAGTAGGTTACTAACCACCTAGCAACCCCCTAAACCCTAAACCCCTAAACCCTAAACCCTAAACCCTAAACCCTAAACCCCTACTATTTAGGTAACTGGAGCCCTAGGGCTCTGCTGGATGCAAGGACATGGATGCCCTCGCAGAGCAAGCGAGCAAGACTTGAGAACACTGTCCCGTTGGCCCGGACCGGGTCGTCTAGTGAGGGTTTCGGTAAGGGTTTAGGGTTCAGGGGTTGAGGGTTTGGGATTTATTTAGGGATTCGGTTTGGTATTTAGGGTTTAGGGTTAGCGATTTCACAGGGTTTTGTAGGGTTTCATAAGGATGATGGCAGTGTAGATCCTCGACGAATGAATTCTTCCGGCAAATTGACTATTGCAGGGGATCCTAAGAACAAGGGCACTTAGTGAGGGGAGTTACAAACCATGGGTCCGTCTATTTCCAGAGCGCATTTCCATAACCTTGCTCAGGAGAGGCCGTTCTGTAAATCTAGGAATATGAAGCCAACTTCCTTTCATAGCTGACCCCTCGATTACGGATTATTGGGCTTGTCAGGTTTCTAGAACTATGACACCTGTTGCATTGAGAGTGCGGGGCCAGGGTCTCTGTTTATCATCTGTGATAGACGGGCAATGCTGATACCACTGTGGCTGTAACTTCGCCACCCGCAGTTCGCAATCAGCCCTAATCCTACAATGCTGCATGCAATTATCCCTTAAACTCTAAACCCATCATACCTTTCACAATTACAAGGAGTATGCCATAGTTCCTACGAGCCCTATAGGATAGAAAGCTGAACAGAGCCTTCACCTTGTAAAGAACCCGCCGGGGTAATTGTCGATACATCGCCTCAATACCCTCATTAGCGGCAGCTCTTCAGCTACGGTCCCCTGCCGGCATCCCTCAAGAAGAGGACACTGCAATGCTGAGCCCAGCAACCATAAGTCAAGAAGCCTCAACAGTCTGTGGCCCTGAAGGCACTTCCAAACCCTTCATGAACTGTGATCCCTGCAATCTAAGCCCTGACACCCTCAAACTCCCAAACTCTGGCATCATGAGTATCAGCATGCAGCTTCTGCTTTGGATACCAGAATATTCACCCGCTCGCACGAGCCCTTAAGCCATGAACTGCGCAAGCTAAGTCAACGGGCTTTAAGAGAGTAGGGTTTGGGAGTATGATTATACTTTATTTGTTTACGCAAGCCTTAGCATCGTATGGGTCCGGAAGGTAATGCAGGCTTTATCTCATCAACCGTACTGTAGCCCTAGCCAGCGCAAAACAAGGTCGCATAATCAAGCAGATCAACCACTGTGCTGCACGATATGATATCACTGACATCACCGTTCATATTCCGCTGCGCTGCGTGGCAACACACTAGGTTGTTAAGCTAGCGGAGCATGACATCGCGATCGTCATACCTATGCTGGAAGCATTGCAGCATTCTGAGCTGGCCGACAGTTGTTGACAAGTGTCGCTCATGAGGACCGGCCGAATCGCGGTACCAACTTAAAGCTTTGCCGATCAGTGTCACCGAATCTGCCGTCTGAGCTTGCAGAGAGACGATATCAGGGTTTAGGGGTTTAGGGTTTAGGGCGATATTATTAGGATTTAGGGTTTAGGGTTCCTAAGACAACATGCTCAAGACCTGCGGTCTTATTGACGTATATAAGCTTTTGCATGGTAGCGACGTGCTTTTTGCAAACTCTGCAGCGGCATCCAAGTGCTCTCCATTCGAAATTGGGAGCTTCTCAAGACAAAGGGACCAGCGCCAGAAATATTCAGCCTTCCTCATTGGGAGGGCTTGTGTTCGTCCTTTGGAGGACCCTTCATCTTGAGAGAGCACCACATCGCTTCACCGACAGAAATAGATGCTTCTTCCGAGGGCTTGTGATCTGTGCTGCTGGTATTTGCTGGTCGTTCTCCCTTCAAGAATCTTGTAAAAATCTCTCTCCCGAACCCCACCCTAAGGGTCCATGTACCCAAATAGCATGTACTTTGGCCCCGAAGTACGTATATTGGGGGCTAGTTTAAGGCCAGGCCTAAGAATATAGAATTCGGTGGTTCGTGGACCCTTAGGGCCACACTCGGCAGCAGTCACTGGCAGGTGCGACCGAGGGCTTTTCCGTTGAGTTTACTCGAATATCCTGAGTGCAGATACGTCTACAAACGGACACAGGAAGTAGAGATGAAGCTCGTAGATGCCAGGAGATGGGCCAGCGGGTCGCTATTGGGATACGTGCTACCTATAGTCTCCATTGTAGTTACTTTTCTTGGTTAGCCAGTTTTATGGTTAGGATCTTATAATATAGATTTTGGTTAACCACAAAAAGGAACTACAACGGAGACTATAGGTAATTACTTTCCAGAGCATTCCCCTGGTGATTCAGCGTTTGGACAAGAGGCTGTAGGCCCCAAGCCCAAGGCACATGCCTGGCTCCGTGGCCATCCAGCGGTGATGCGTCACAAGGCGCATGGGATGTTTCCGGTAGCAAGACCCACACCACCCATAGGGCCCTTAGTACCTTCGTAGGAGGAAGTAGGGTTTCTACAGTGTAGGAGTTACGATTATGGTTTGGGCAAGTATTCCCCTGTGGATACTTACTCCTTTGGGACCCAAAGCCCTACACTAAACGTCAGGGAGTGCCGGAAGTACTGCTGAACCCTGCAGCTGGTTCAACCCCAAACACACAAGATTACCGAACCCAAGCCGACTCTTGAAGAAGTACGGTTGATGATATCAATCCTGTATTCCCAATAATGAGGAATATACCATAATTCCCACATATTCCCTATCATGGGTAATGAAGGATTTATATCATCAACCGTAGCATTAGGATCTTTATGAGAATCCTCGGTATGGAAGATCGAGGGCTTATACATCACCCTAAGGGTCCATGTACCCCCCAAATACTATATACTTAGGCCTTAAAGTAGATATACTGGGGCCTTAAAGTAGTCCCTATATAGGTACTTTGGGGCCATATTGGGTACACAAGCCCGTCAACCTGCACCATGAAGCCCAAACGCCTAGTTAAGCCCTGAAGCCCTAGATTCCTAAGACCTCAGCCCCAAGCATCCGTGGCAAGTTCTGGGAATTGCCACAGGCACCCGGCGACGCAGAAGCGAAGGCCGTATCTTCAACTGCAGACCTTTCTCATTTACAATCTACAGTAATTATGCAGCGCACCCTAAAACGTATGCTGGATCTCCAGTCTGCATCTACCTACTCAGGGAAGTAGAATTTGACGGTAGCTTTCTGTCTAGGTATGTATGTAGGTCTGTATGTATAGATGTATTTATCTGTGTATCTTTGTGTCTAGCTTGCTAGCTAGCCAGCTTAGTACCTACCTGATCTATCTATCCTAGAAGTGATGTCGGGTCCAAGTCTGTGCTGTATTGCAGTTGGGCGGGGCTCTTACATCTTGCGCTAGGCAGAGTTGACCCTGCTTGATCTTCTGGTTTACGCATACAAGCCGTTGCAATCCTAGGTAACCCGGTAGATTCCTCAACTGGGATTTTCGGTTCGGGAGTGAGTGGCTGCTCAAGGCGGAGTCTGAGGGGCTTATGTCCGTGCACCTTTCCATTGCCCACACACAGACACGAGATCTGAAAGCTGGCCTTAGGCATCTGACAGCCTTGTAAACCCATGCCTGCAACAACCATCATGGCCTTTAAGAAGTCGAATGACACGTGGCTTTTCCGCGATTGTTTCCCTGTCTTGGCAGCGACAACCTGCCCATAAACCCTACTGTGGGTTCTACAATCTTTAGGTCAAGTTCAAAAACCGTGGCCTGCATCTCTCTGTTCCCAGGAGGAGCTCTAGAGCACCGAATCCTGGACCGTACTAGAGGGGCCTAAATAATTACATATACTATTTTGGGGGTTCCTTATTATAACTATAGTATAATGGGCCCGAAAACCCTTCTCTAATTAAGGCCCCTCTATTCGGCCCACATCTTTTTGATGGTCCAACCGCAATACCATCATTGCCAACCAGGGGGGGCGAGACTTGAGGGCTATGGGTTGAGGGCTCAGTTCTTGTTTGGTGGGCTTTTCAAGGGGAGCTTGTTATGATCCAAGGGTAGAAGGAGGGACCCTTAATAAGGACCCCTAGGTATATACCCTTAATATAGCTATTATATACCCATTATATAGCCCATTATAGGGTAGGGGTCCCCATTAAGGGTCCCTCGTTTTCCCCTTTGTTACGAGCAGGTTCCGACCCCTCCGCGTGCCTCGCCACGAGGTGGTGTTTCCGCAACTGGGCCTTACTCATAGATAGCGTTCGCACGCAAAGTAGGTACCTTAAAGATAAAATGAACCCTGAAAGGGCTTAAGGTTATATACCATAAAGGGATTCATAGTACGGTTTAGGGTTTAGAGTTTTGGGGTGTCGGGTTTACGCAAGATTTCAGAGTCCTCGCGCTGTACCCATGAATTAACTTCCTGAACTCAATCCCTGGGGCTCCAGTTCCCCAGGTGGTAGTTGTAAAAATAGGGGGGGGGGTCCCTTTTTTGGGTACCCTAACCTTAACCCTACGTAACCCACCCCTTTTAAGGACTTATATAAAGAAATCATATGAGGGAACCCTAAAAAGGTAGGTTCCTTAGGGTCCAGGAATATAATACGGCACCGACTATTTCGGGTACCCAAAAAGGGACCCTAATTTAGAGAGCTACCCAGATATTGGGTTACGTTTTGGCTTGGGGGCTCCAGTGTCTGCCGAAGAGTTGACGATGGTTGAGGGTTTTGGGGTTGTGGGGTTAAATTTAGGGGTTTAGGGTTTTGGGGTTTTAAAGTTTAGGGGCTTTGGGGCTTTAGGGGTTTAGGGTTGAGGCTTGGTTGTGCTGTGGAACTAACAAACCGGACTCAGCATCGAAACGGCTACATTTCAATCTTTACATCTCCCACAGCTCACCGCTACTAGGTCACTAGGCGATTGCTTTATGGAGGCTCCCAGCCGTTTACGGCCATGTGGAAGTTTAGGTGCAGGCGGATCTGCCTTGGGGTTAGGGTGCACAGTCCGGTTCTGTCTGCGAGACATTCTGCTCTCGGTTAGGAGTTGGCAGTTTCCGTAGCAGACGCAAGGCAGCGGAGCAAAGGCGGCATGCGCAAGAACAGGCGCAACTAGGGCTCCCGGGTTCTAGGATGTAGGATGTCTTAGGGCTTATAGGATAATCTGGGTGCTTGGGCGTTGTTTCGTGGATCGAGGGCTTTGGGCTGCGATTCGATGCATGATCCTTGCAGTGCCTGTTTGCTGGAGCCTGGAGGCCTTCGACAAGTTGTGGAGCTTGGGATCTGAGGGGAAAGTGTACTGTAAAGCAATATATCAATGTAGCTTCCTTGGGGTTTCTCATTTTGCGTGTAAAAAACACCCAAACCCTATTCAACTTATTCAGGCATCTAAAAATCAGCCCTGAGCCCTAAGCCCTAAGCCCTAAACCCTAAATCCAAACCTTTAAACCCTAAATCCTCGTAAGAGAAACCTAGAAGCCCGAAGCCCGGGAACGTGAACCCCCGGAGCCTCGAGCTTGGTGCCTTATTAAAGGTCTGAGAACTTTCAGCCACACTTGCCAGGGTTTAGGGTTTGCTTACCTTCGGTTAGTCGGGAATGGAGGAATGGGGTACAATTATAACTACTATTACTACAATTCTTCCATTCCCTACTAACCAAAAGTAAGTTTGGGGTTGAGGGTGCCCGGTTCAGGGTTTCGGGTTAACAGATTCTGGTCCTTTGGACTTTTGGTGATTGGATGGTTTCGACTCTCACTCCTTGTTGAGCTCGCTCTGTTTTTTTTGTTTAAGCTTGAGGTCGTCGAGTGTTCGGGCAAGGTTTTTAGGGAACCTTCCCCAGGACCATTGTCTGATAGACCGGATTCCTTGTGGAGCTTAAGAACTCAAACTTGGGGTTTTAGAATATCTTCCTGACCGAGATCCATGTGCAGAAGCACAGAATGTCTGAAACCCATACCCTATAAAGTGCGATGTTTCCCAACCATCAGACAGTCTTAAACCTCAAAGCACCCGCCCTAAAACACTCCTACACTCTGAACACCCAACGCTTCCTTGACCTGAATAAACGCCCAAATCCTGAACTGTAAACCCTGCAAACCAGGGCCGTTGAATCAACAGGTCTCAACCGATCTCAACCAAAGTTGCTGGTTTCACTTGTCGGGTTTAGGGCGCTGGGCGACATGTTGAATAACCCTCATCTTAACCAGAAGCCTTACACTATATGGACCCGACATGCTTGCGAAGCTGGATCCTCAGCAGCTTCTTGCATGCACTGCCCTGCAGATCGTCCTGGACCCTTTTGAAAGCCGCGCCAGCCAGTCCGACACTGAAGATACTATGGCAACAACTACTGGGGCCTGGGTTGGGCATTAATATAGAGGCCTAAACAGTTACCAAGAATTTTGTTAGGGTCCCTTGTGTTGACTATACTATAAAGGAACTTAAAACCCTATTAAAATGTTCAAAGCACTAAGGCCCCTACATTTTAGGGCGCAAGCTTCTCGGCTCGTCATTCTTGGTATGAGGGCAGAGGCCTCTCTGGAATGCGAGCTCGAGCTCGTTTATGTATGCATGTATGTATGCACGTGTACACATGGGTTTTATCTACAGCTATATATACATGTACATGTAGAATTAAATCAATAAATATTCATATCTAGGTTATTTATGTTTGTATTTGTTTTCAGTCTTTATTGCCGTATGCACGCAGACTAGATTATGATTACTTTGGTACACATCATATATATATATACACATATTCACACAGAGCTATATGTATATAGCTATGCACGCACACGCAATTCTAATGTTGTTCCGGCTCGTTGATGGGTGTTGGAGTGCAGACAGATGAGTGCTTGGGGCTCCGAGATCAGCGATTGTTGGGCCTCATTAGTTGAGCTGATGTAATTACACCGCCCACTGCGCAAGCTGCACTGTGTACTATAGATGGCTGTCTTTCCGAAGAACAAAGAACACTGAATGCCAAAGTACACAAAATTGTACAGCAGCTGCCGCATAGCAGTTATCGTCATCACCATCATCATCATTATCACCATGCTTATCGTCATCGTCATCATCATCACCGGTTTGCTATCAGCATTGTCATCTCGTTATTTGATACTTAGCTCATCAGTACGTGCATCTGAATCCTCAGTCATGAAGGTCTCCTAAATATCAATTCCGCAGAACTTCAGCCCCAAGCCCCCAAGCCGTACTGCGGAGCTCGGAATCATAAGTCAGAGTATCCCCGTATGGCGCCTATGTAGTTGTGGTATAATATACCCCAAAAGCCCTACCGAACTATCAAGGCACCGAAGAGTGAATGTTGTCTGCTTCAGAGGTCTTCGCAGCGCCTCACCCCACGAGGGCCTTATCCAAGCCCAGAGGCAGGGGTTTAGGGTTTAGGAGTTTAGGGTTTAGGGTTTACCTGAGCCCCGAAGCCCCAGCCCCCCAAAACAAATTAGCAAGACGACCAAGAGGGCTCGGGGCTAGTAAGGAAACCCCGACGTCTCAAGCGTCAACAACCTTAAGCCTCAAAACATCAAGACCCCCCGACCGTCCAGGGCGCCGAGCCACACGGTGTCTTCCGCTCTCGGAGTGCAACCGTGAGTTCCAGCACGGCCGCATGCCCCAAGAATGTCTTTTTTCTGACATACTGTATTGTCGTCGATCAACGCAGTTTCGCCATCATCAGCATCCTCGTTGTTATTCCCATTTAACACTGTCATCATTATCATCATCGTCATAATTGGTATCAACAGGGGCGGTGACAAAGATTGTCACCGTTAAAGGTTCAGATCACAAATCAATCATCATCGGCCTTGCCTCCAGTTGGCCTCTTCCTCCTCCTAGTCATCAGCATCAGTACCGCACCAGTACCGACGAGCTGACCGTAATCAGCTGCAGAATGATGTTGCTCATCATCAGCGCACAGCATCACCGCGACCATCGTTCACCATCACTCAAGCATCATTTTCTTCTTCACTCCCAGCACCATTGCCTTCAACACGAGTATCGCCGTAGCAGCAGCAGCTGGCAGTAGCGGCTCCAGCAGCAGCTGTAGTAAGTGGCAGACGAAGTATCAACAGCAGCAGCAGCAGCAGCAGCAGCAGCAGCAGTACCAGTAGCATTAGGAGTTGCAGAAGCCGCAGTAGGAGTGGGAGTGGGAAGGAGAGAGGGGGTCAGAGTAGGAGTCGGAGGAGACTAGTAGTAATAGTAATAGTAGTAGTATTAGTAGTAGTATTAGTAGTAGTAGTAGTAGTAGTAGTAGTAGTAGTAGTAGTAGTAGTAGTAGTAGTAGTAGTAGTAGTAGTCGTCGTCGTTGTAGTAGTAGTAGCAGTAGTAGTAGTAGTAGCAGAAGGTAGTAGTCGTCGTCGTCCTAACAGCCATAGTGGTAGGCATAGTCGCAGTCGTGATGTTGGTCGCAATACCACGGAAACCGCATATAGGTCACCAGCAAGCTTGTCTGCCGCCTAGGGCAGCGACGACCTTCCGTCCACGAAGGCATGGTTGCCCTGATGGCAAGTGGCTGCTGGTCTTTCGAGCTTCCACCTGTCAGGGCTTATTGAAACAGGGTGTTGCGAACGATGGCATGCTCTGCAGCTTGCAGTCAGAGGGCCCGTATTCATCTATCAACGAGAACGTCTCGCAACCAGCAGAGGCTTGACTAGGCATACATACATACATACATATATAATATGTGTGTATTTATATATACACATGTTTTTAGATATATGTATGTACAATGTGTGTATGTACAACTATACATATACGTGTATATGTATATGTTTATGTATGTACATGTGTATATATATACATATATATTATATCTGTGTATATCTATATATATATATATATATGTATGTTCGTACATACATAAATACATACACATAGACAGATAGATAGATTTGTAGATAGACAGACAGATAGGTACCTAGATAGATTGTGTACTCGGATGTTTTGTATCAGCCAGGTGTTGTTTGCCCAGATGTCGGAGGTGGCTACCGAGAACCAGGAAGTCGCCATCAGCACTGTGTCTTAGCTATGCGCTTTCCGACTCCTCTCGGCTCTTGTTGAGGAACCTAGTCCATTTTACCATCGCAGGGATCGAAACAATGTGGGGTCTTACGTTAACATAAACGAAGTAGAACCATGTAGGTCAACGGTACGGTAACTTAAGTTAGCTATTTTGTAACATGGTTCCCTCGCCATGTTATCTTGAACTGAGTTGCCGGTGACCCCTAAACCCGATACACCCGTTGAGAAATAAAACTGAGGTGGCCAGAAAACGCCTGACGAGTCATGGCTTTCGGACTCCCGCAGTCGGAAAGAGTGTCAGCGTGAACAATCACAACCTACACCTGAAAACCCCCTAAACCCGAAACCCCGAAACCCCTAAAACCCTATAAAAACACCTAAAACCCCAAACCCCTAAACCTGAAAAAGCCCTACAAAGAGCCCCCAGCGCATGCTGCGGCCAAAGAGGACGGTGAGCTGGCTCGTATGCCCGGACCAGCCTTGCAGGCCAGGGCAGGATCTGTACTTAGAGGATCATGGGACTTAGTAAGTAGGTTATAATTGGGGTTATAGGTCCCCTAACTGGGGTTATCCTAATTATAACCTACTTATAACCTTACTTACTAAGTCTTCAAGTAGATCCTCAGAGAGTCCACGAACCCAATTAGGGTTCGTTTAAGGGTTCCAAAATGGGTCCTTTAAGGGTCTACTATAAGGGTTCTATAAGGGTTTAGGGCATAAGGGTCCATGTACCCAAATAGTATATGCATTGGCTTCAAAAGCACCCCCCCCATATTGGTAGAGTTTAGGGTTGATGGTTTTGGTTTGGGGTTTAAGGTCTACAGGGTTTATAGGGTTTTGGATCTAGCGTTTAGGGTTAGGGCCGCTAGGGTTTTGGGTTTTGGGTTATCGTCAAGGCTTCGCAGAATTCGTTTCTGATGTGTGCATGTGTGTGCAAATGCCTGTTACATTCGTACGGCTGTTTGGTTTGTCAGCTCATTCAGAATGAGAGGGGCTTGGGGTGGGTTTCCTGTTCTTTCCTGGTGCCCCACTGCTCCTACCGTTGATGGTATAAATCCTGCATGACCCATAGTACGGAATAGCCCATAATTCCCATAGCTTAGGGTCCTTAAGGTATTGCAGGATTTCTATCATAAACCCTAAAACCCTATAGATCCCTTAAAGGAACCCCTTAAAGGTACCCTTATAGATCCCTTTTAAAGGCACATCAACCGTAACACCACAACCCGAAAGTTTCTGGCAGCCCGAGCCCAATGACTCCAGCAACCCCAAATGCCCAAATCGTGATCACGGCCCCACATGGGGGGTTTCTGAAAAAAGGGGACCCTCATATAGTATCCTAAATAGTAGGATCCTTATTATGAAGGCACCAAAATAAGGTACCCCGATTTTCGGAAACTACCAACTGAAACGAGTCCAACATGAACCCTGCTCGACAAACTGGCCCGAACAGCTTAGTCAGAACTCGAGCCTCCATCCCTAAGGCGCAACCGGCTCCCGAATTAATTGGCCCCTAAGCCCCAAGACCCCCGACACCCTGCACCTGAATCCCCACACCCCGAAATCCTTAAACTCCTAAGCCCTAAATCCCAAACCCGCAAACCCGTAACTCAAAGCCCCCTCCCCCCCCCTCCCCTCCCCGCCGATATACCCAAAACCCCCTTTGGAAGGGCAGGGGACTTAGTAAGTAGGTTATAAGTAGAGTTGTAAGTACCTTAAATGGAGTTACCCCAATAATAACCCTAGTTATAACCTTACTAAGTCCCCTGCCCCTCCAAGTAGACCCTAAACCCTAAACCCCCTAGATCCCTTTAAGGAGCCCTATAGATCCCTTTAAGGAGCCCTTTAAGAGCCCTTACTAAGTCCCCTGCCCCTCCAAGTATCACCAACCCTAAACCCCTAAACCCCTAAACCACTAAACCCTAAACCCCTAAAACCCTAAACCCTAAACCCCTAAAACCCTAAACCCTAAACCCCTAAAGCCCTACACCCTAAACCCCTAAACCCCTAAACCCTAAACCCTCAACCGTAAAGGATTGGGTGCTGAAGATGACTCGGCTGCTTCGAGCTCAGGGGTTCAGAGAAAGCAGGACTGGGGCTCTTTCGGGTTCGGGGTTTGGGGTTTTGGGTTTAAAGGGTTAGGCATGAGGGTTTAGGGTTCAGAGAAAGCAGAACTAGGGCTCTTTTTGTGTTTAGGGTTTCGGGTTTTAGGCTTAAAGGTTTAAGTTTAGGCATACAGGGTTTAGGGTTCAGTGATGGGTGGGGCTTTCGTTTATGCCCAGGCTCTCAAGGTCTGGCATTTTGTGACTTGTGCAATGATTGACTGGGTTCTTGTCAAGAAACTTAGTAAGTTAAGTTACCAAAGCAGGTGTCAATACTGTTGATGATATAAATCCTGCATTACCCATAATAAGGAATATATGGGAATTATGGTATATTCCTAATTATGGGTCATGCAGGATTTATATCATCAACCGTAGTAAGTATTTTTGTTTGAGTATTATGGTAGCCTAATCAAGTTCCTTATCAAGAACCCAGATAAGGGTTATGCGGCTTCAGGCAATGTACTTCACACTGCTCAGGGCTTTGTCATCGTCAGGGAGGGCGTTTGGCGATCGACGCTTCATAGTGGAGTTGTTCTAAATCGCATTTACCACTGAAGCGCAAGGTTTGTGACTCCTGCGCCCAAGATGGGTTGTCGGAACCAAGCCAAACTATAGAGTACAGACCATGCGCATGCTTACACCTAAAACGCATAAACCCAATCGCCCCATCACGCCTATAAATGCTATCTAGACAAAATCCGAGACCCTGACCTCAATCTGAGCCCCTCTCGCACGAAGTTGCTGGAGGTTGCGCGAAATCCAGGAGAAAGCTCGTGGCATTCGAGAAGTTAGCACGCTGACTTGGAATTTATTAGCTTTTGTTTGTTTAGGTTTTCGGCTTTGGGGGAGCAGAACAGCGGTGGCTAGGGTCTGAGATTATGGGCACAGCGCATGGTTTAGGCCTTGGAATTTGACAAGAAATAAGTCGTAACAGCCACTGCATGCCATCTTGCTTTTTGCATTCGTGTGGAGTGAGGGGCTAGTTGCTCGTAGAGCCATGAAACCCAACTTTTTGTGCTATGCGCGCAGATATTCATATCGAAGCTTTCAGACAGCAGCTATGTCACACGATACGCACGAAGACGTGGTAAACCATGTAAAACTTTACGGAAACAAGACTTGCGACAGCAATCAGGAAAGTTACCCACTCAGCAACATGACGGTTCACCAAGATTGCGGAGTCTGCGGCAGTTTGTGTCGTGCTGCTTGCTGAACATGAGCCTGAGACACGCTTAAGCCTTGGAACCTCTTGCTAGCAAAGCATATGGAACAGCGGAAAGCTTGCCGCTGTTTCTACAGGCCACAGAAAGTTCTGCATTGTCCTTAGCCGTACACTACTTTCGTTCCATTGCAGCAGCTACATGAGACCCTATCATGCGTCAAGGCTTCAAGCAAATTTCTGCGCACATCTGTCCAGGGGTTTTGCAGGTGTGGTGTCCTGAGGTGTTCAGGGCTTGGGGTGTAGTGGTGTAGTAACTGAGCATGGTTTCGCTGCTGAGTCTCCACATGGGTGGATATCACAATTAAGTTCCCTTTTGGGGTACCCTAAATATCAGGTGCCGTACTATAATAGGGACCCAACAAGGGACCATAATTTTGACAACCACCCCCATGAAAGTTTCTTGTGGCGATCTCCGGTGCTTCCATTGACTTGGTTTAGGTTAGTGTTTAGACATGATAGATGGAGATGTTTCTCAGATACTTGCAACGTGTCTCCAAACAGGATCAGAGTGAGCTATAGGATGAATGATCCCTCAGTTCTCACATTTAGGGTTGGCTGTAGATAGACTGAGATGGAGTGAGCCCGAACGCCCCAGAACCCAAAATGGTAGTGAATTGGGGCATCTCGAACCCTCTCAGAAGCGTTTCGCAAAGCACTCTGATACTTGTTGCTGAGCTTGGGAGGTTCATGCTCTGTAGGGCTACCCTAGGGCTCCAGTGACCATATATGGTTAGTGACCTACTACTACTTAGGTAACTGGAGCCCTAGGGCTACCCAAGCAGGGATGAGAAGGGAGCATGTTCATTACTTGGAGGGGCAGTGGACTTAGTAATAAGGTTATAAGTAGAGTCATATACGTACCCTAAACCGAGTTACCCCAATTATAACCCTACGTATAACCTACTTACTAAGTCCCCTGCCCCTCCAAGTAAGCGGCGTTGAACTTTACCAGACTGTTGCACTTCGGTACGCCCTTATGCCACTCGACTAGCCCTGAATTGATAACATAGAAGCATGAACAAAATCGAATACTAGTCCTCCGGGCTCCTACTACAGTTCGACTATAGTGCACCCCAAAGCCCATTGCACTTATGGAGGCCTCTACATCACAGGATTCAGAAACTGACGGATCGTTTAGTCTGCAAAAGGGTTCCAACACTTCCCAGGTGCGCACGAAGAAAGACGTTGCAAGAGGCCACACTGTTGCAGCTCGTTGTTGGTTACCTTACATATAGGGGAACTACAACGCAAACCATAGGCACAATGGAAACTACCGGTTACCGGGCTTGTGATTTGAATGAAGCTTGACCCTGGTTTTGAGAGTATGATCCAGCCACTAGCGTCGACGGTTTCCCAGAACCAGGGACCTATATAACTGATTACTCGCCTGTGCTTGGAGGGGCACGGGACTTTGTAAGTAGGTTATGAGTAGGGTTATAATTGGGGTAGCTCCATTTAGGGTACTATTATAACTCTACTTATAACCTACTTACTAAGTCCCCCGCCCCTCCAAGTAGTTACACACAGGGCCAAACATAGTAACCAGTGGAGCACACTACTCCAGGGGAGTTTCATGCGAAACCCGCATCCCTAGAGCAATGCCTTGGGGCAAGATGTAGGAACGTACCTCAAACTTCCATCCCTGAACCCTAAACCCTGAACCCTAAACCCTAAACCCTAACCCTGAACCCTAAACCCTAAACCCTAACCCTGAACCCTAAACCCTGAACCCTAAACCCTAACCCTAAACCCTAAACCCTAACCCTACACCCTGAACCCCGCCCTCCACTTGGATCATGAGCAAGCGCCAAACCGGCCGAGTCTTGCATGAAAGCCTGAAACAGATCCCAGCCCCACTAACTCAAAATTCTGTACTATAGGGGCCTAAATAGTTACCTATACTATTTCAGGGGTTCCTTATTATGATTATAGTATAATGGCCCCAAGCCCTTTTAAGGCCCCTATATCATATAACAGCCAGCCTGGCAATGAGGAGCCTCGACAATGAGCGTTGCGTTGCAATGTGCGGTCATAGCCTGATGTAGCCGAAAAGACCCCAGCACAAGCAGTGTTCTGGGTCTTCTGTCAAAAAGAGTTCTGCCTTGTAAGTTATGGAGATTGATCAGAGGCGTGCCTTAAACCCTAAAGTCTCCGGCTCCCCAGTCCCAGAAGCAGAGTAGGTAACCTTTAACCTTTTTGGGGTAGTATAGTCCCTACACATAATTCCTATATACCAAAGAGGTTACCCACTAGGTCCCCATGATACCCTAGAAGTAGGCAGTCTTGCGTGCCCAAAGTCATTTTTTCAGATTTCAGAGCCGAAGATACTACGACGCCTCAGCCTGCAAACCCGCAAACCTCCCCCCCTAATCCTCGCGAACTCGCAAACACCGAAAAGCTAGCACACCCAAACCTTTCAACCCCTCTACTTGGAGGGGCAGGGGACTTAGTAGGTAGGTTATAAGTAGATGTATAAGTACCCTAAATGGAGTTACCCCAATACTAAGTAGACTTGAGCTGTGGCCGGCAGGAATGCTCGACATTCTTTACCGTAGCGATGCTTGCCTGAAGCAGCTTCTGGTGGCATGTATTTCAATGAGTAGGTGCCTGAGTAATTACCAACACTACTAGAAAGGGAGTTGTATGCTACAGTATACCACAAAACCTGTTCTAAACAATGAGACCCCGTCCAGTGTGCAGTTCAAAAAGAGCCAGGCATCAGAGAAGCTCCTTCCACTTCCACTCACTCGTCGAATAAGTCAACTGGCACAAGTCACGGTTCATCCGACACCCCCCCCAACAACAGCTTAGGGCTTCAATGAGGCTGGTTCTTGCGCATTGAAGTTCCGTGCTTGGGCTTAGAGACTAGAGGCCGGACTGTCAGATTTTCAACACCTAAAGGCCGAAACTTTGAGGAATAGGGACGCTGGGTGCTTCTGAATAAGCACCTTGTTGGCCTTGTTGGGGTAAATCCTAAATCCTAAATCCTAAATCCTAAATCCTAACCCTTAAATCCTAAATCCTAAATCCTAAATCCTAGATCCTAAATCCTAATCCTTAAATCCTAAATCCTACTCTTTTAGGGCTCCCTATCTTCGGAACCTCTCAAGCCTTGAGCCCTGACCAGGCCGCAAGCCCTGAAACCCCTAAGTTATCGTTTAGGGTTTAGGGTTTAGGGTTTAGGGTTTAGGGTTTAGGATTTAGGGTTTAGGGTTTAGGGTTCAGGGTTCAGGTTTAGGGCTTAGGGTTGGGCGTTTTTGTAGGTTCTGTATCAGATTGGGGCTGGTAAGCATGTGTACTGCACTAAGGAGTCAATGACGAGGACGCTGGAGCAGTCATGTGGGGTTTGTGGAACAAACCTTGAGGTAGATAGATATGGGAGTTTCCGAAAATACTGTTATATAGTACCCTAAATAGTAGGATCCTTATTGTAAGGACTCCCCAAGAGGCCCCAAGAGGTTCTGCTGATCTTCGGAAAGTCCCACATACATACCTACATACATACATCCTTACCCATGGAGTTCCCCCACGCAACGGCCCGACCAAAAACTTCCCACTGTTACTTGTTGGGTTTGGGCCTGCGGCCTAGGGCTTACTTAGGGCTTGGTTGTAGGGTTTAGGGTTTGGGCTTATGGGCGTAGGGGTTTTAGGGTTTGGGTTTTTGGGTTTCAGGGGGGGGGGAGATTTGAAGAAGCTTCCGGAATCCAGAGAGTTTCCAGGCCTTTTGGATTTCTGCAGTGGCAAAGACATAACCTAGTAGTAGAGTAGGCAACCTTTAACCGTTTAACCTTTTTTGGGTAGTATAGTCCCTATATAATCCTTATATAACCAAAAAGTGGACCTTTAGTTCCCCATAATACCCGACAAGTAGGATAATGCTTCATGGCTTAGTCGACTTGATGGTGTCGGCGCATCCCGACAAGACACTGCGCGATAAATAAACCCATTTCCCATCATGTCTTGTGCTTCACTGAACCGTAGTAGCTGGGCGACTCAGGGTGGAAAAGAAGACGCACCACCACATCGCAATCGAAGCACCAAAAATCTAGAGCCCTAAACCCTGAAACCTTTTCCGAGCGCACGAGGGGAATATGCGGACAGTTGCTGGCCACATGTTGCGAAACAGAAAAGCGGCACTAAATATGGATCATCGTGACCACTCTCACGACAATCGCCTTGGCCATTACCACAATCCCCTCGCCATTGTAAGCACCATCACATTCATGCTTGCACTCATGACCATCATACACCATCACCATCAACAATATGATTATCATCATCACCACCAATCACCATCGCATCACAGCAAACGTCAGGGCCGCGAGCAGGAACACAGTCTCCGCCCGGCCTTACACCATCGTAGAGATAGTCTGGTCTTACCAGCATTCGTGCTTGCTGCCGCCTGATTTACCACCACCATCGCGGAACACACTATCCTTCGGCCCCCACCTGTCAGTAGTTAACCCTTCCGCATGTCCATGCTTGTGTGTTGATCATCATCCTTACGTATTCCTCATCCCCACCCTGCTCCTGCTCGCCATCATCGCCATCATGGTGATCGTCTTCATGGATGGCAGCATCTCACTAACCCTAAACCCTAAAAGATGGAGGAGACCCTTTGCTGGTGAGTGCCGTTGTGGCCACACTCCGAAGTGAGTGCTTGTTGCTCAACCATCACTTTCCATGGTCTGCAGCATCACATCGCTAATGCCTGACGCTGTTCTTGTATGATAATCGAGAAAACCCTAAACCCCAAACCGTCTTATCACGTGCCCATTTCAATGCCGTGCTGTCGTCCAAGGAAGCTGCCCTCCCCGCAACTCGGGTTTCAAAGAATCGCGGATTGTATTGTACCCAAAGGCGCCAAAATAATTCCTTTTGGGGTTCGTATATAGAATCATAACTTATTAGGTAATCCCGAAAAGAACTAATTTGGGGCCTCTGGGTAGACTGTACATTGCAGGATCTTTCATTCAAAGGCCCCTATTCTTGGCTAGAACCCAGTGATGCCGAACCTACATCCTAAGCCCTCCCGTGAGCTTATAAATTACATCGTTCTGCACGCGGGCTGTTCGCAAAATGGGTGCTGGTAGCTACAGAAGTTAAAGCCTTCACCTTGAAGTCAAGTGCATGTGATGCTGGCAATGATGTCAAGGCTCCTGTGCGAAAACTAAGCACATCTTGGCCAATGCTTCTTCAGATGCGGTTCGTGCGTTTTAGGGTTTGGCATGATTCTTGCGGTGTTGCCCTAGGGATCAAACTAGCCTAAAAGCCTTAAACTAATAGTATGGTCTTTGGGCCCAAACGCCTTGGTATATGAGTTCTTGGATCCCTAGGGTTATGCGTCTTCAGACGTACCCTCCTATCGGTTTTCGGATTTGGGTTTGGGTGCAGGTCTCTGCCTTCAGAATCGCTCCATATCGCTCCAAAAGGGGGTTTCCGAAAATTAGGGGCACCGTATTTCAGGGTCCTTATAATAAGGATCCTACTTTTTTAAGTATTATATTAGGGTCCCCTATTTTCGGAAACTCCCAGACCAGTGGTACGATTGGTTTTAGTCTGGTCAACGCTTGGCCTCGGGTACTAACAAGGCCTTACTGATTGCAGGACCCGGGGGGAGAAGCAATGGCCAGCAGTGTGATCGCAAACTTCGCAATTGGCTTTTGGGGGGCCGACATGCGACGAAGAATTCGCGCCATCCTCCCACCCAAGTGATATGGCCGCTGGCCCTGCAGCAAGCATAAATCTAGGGCAAACAGGCGTAGGCACCACTCTGGGGGGGCAGCCCAAATCCCTTCGACCCCCCTTCGCCGAACCCCCGCCCCCTTCGTCGAACTTCGCCCTCGGCTGTGGCTAATATTAGTATTAATATATTTAGTATTAATATAATATAATAATTAGTAGTGGTACTCTTATATAATTAGTATTAAGATATACTATAACTAATTACAAGTATTATTATATTAAATATGCGAGGATTAGTATTGTTGTTATATTAGTTTTAGATAATAGAGTCTGAGTAGTTGCTTATATGTAATACTTCCGGTGTAGTAATTGTGAGCCACAAAGAAAGAACACAATTTAACAAACACAGCCCATCACAAGAACTCTAATAACTGTTTGAGAAGCAATAGGTTAAATATTTGGACAACTACAAAGACAATGTACAACTTATTACTTATGATAATGAATAAGAGCTACGGAATAATAATAACCAATTGTTTGCTACCCAATAAATTCTTGTAGTAAATATGATAAGAACAGTTAAATAACTAATGCCATACCCCCGAGTGTAGCAGCAACAAGAACCGCCCGAGTCTCACCTACTTAAGTACATCTAACCTTAGTTTAATATTATGTGGCAATTGAAATTGTACTGGTCGCCCGAGTGTATCAAATAATCATTCCAACGACAACTGCCCGAGCCTCACCTACACAATCATCTGCACATAATATTTTTATCTCAACATGATTATAACACATATGCATTAGCTTCCCCATAACTTTAAATCCCCCTGTAACTTCCCCTTAACCTTAAACCCCAGCCCGCCCCTTCACCTCCGGCGGGCACCGGCGACACTACGCCGGCGCCCCACTTTCAGGTCCATGGGTTGTAGCTTGGTTCTTTGGGTTTCGGGTTTAGTGTCCAGGGTGTGGGGGTTTGGGGTTAGGGTTTGGGGGTCAAGGGGTTTGGGAGTTTGGGGGGCCCAGGTTGTTGAGGGGTTCAGCTTGGGGCCTTGGCGTGTTGGTGGGGTTTCGGGTTTGGTGTTGAGGGTTTGGAGCTCAGGGGTCGAGGTTCTAGGGATTGGTGGTTCGGGGGGTCCGGGTTTTCAGGGTGTTCAGATTGGAGCTTTGCGGGTTTGTCGGGTGGAGCATGATCTTGTGTTGATTGGGGTTTGGGGTCGGGTTGGGGCTTGACTCAGGCTGGGGTTTCGGGTTGAGGCTTAGTTGAATTGATGGGTTGTTACTGTTACTGTTAGTGTTGTTCTTTGTTCAGTTTTAATTTAATTTAATTCTAGTAACTGCCGGGGGCCCTGGACTTCGTGACGAGGCGCGTTTAGGATTAGTGGTTATTAGAGGTTTGGGTTTGAAGAGGTGGACTGGTGCATTGCACCAGGCCCCTCAACAGCATCCAAGATGCCAGGTGGCCGCGGCGGCCTGACCACCGGTCAGGCTCCCGGCTCAATAGGCCTGGGCGGCCGTGGCGGCCTGACTTCGGTCAGGCTCCCGGCTCCCGGTCTTCTGGAAGCAGCCTTGTCTGGGCGGCCGCGGCAGCCTGACCACCGGTCAGGCTCCCGGCTTCCGGCATGGCCTGGACGGCCGTGGCAGCCTGACCACTGGTCAGGCTCCCGGCTTCCGGCATGGCCTGGACGGCCGTGGCAGCCTGACCACCGGTCAGGCTCCCGGCTTCCGGCATGCGGCTTTCAGTTCACCCTGGCATCTTCGGATACTGGTCTGGGTGGCCGCGGCTCCCGACCAGATCATTCCAACCTCGCCCGAGCCCCCAAATAGCTTAGCAGTAGTCTGAAACCCTACTAATAAATCAAGACTATAC